GTTGTAGGTTGGATTAGTTGAGAATGTCCAGCCAATATGTTTGATGAGCTGTATAATTTTAAAGTTTGTGGTTAGGCAGTTGGGACCATCAATAATTGGATTAGGATGAGAGAAAATGCTAGTTGAAGACCAAAGATTATTTTGTAATTGTTGGATTCGAATATGAGTAGATGTGCCTAATAGGTTAGGATTATTAAGTCATTTAATAAGGTTAGAAAGTCTTGACCATTCTTGTTTAACCAATAAACATTAATTATTAGTTATTTTGATGTTTTATATTACACTTAATTTAGTCAATCAAAATTTAGAATTTGTTAATATATAAACATTAGGTACATATACTATTGTCCTATCTGTAATGTTCTTCAAACAATAAATAAAAATAAAATATTTTTTTATTAATTTTAATTTTTATATTTTTATACATAATAAAATTAATTTTAAAAATTTACATATTATATAATAAATAATATCAAAAAAATTTCATAAGTTAATAGCTTCAAATGCATTAAAAATTATCATATATATTACTTACCAAATAGATAAAAAAAATATAAAAATCTCTTAATTCTAACTTTATTTAATATTTATTTAAATATTATAATATTTTTATTACAATAAGATGGTTTAAAAAATGAATTAATTTTTGATTACAAGATATTGAATATAAATCAATAAAATAATTATATTGACATTAATAAAAATAATAATAAGACTGCAACAAATAAAGAATCATATAAAGAAAATTTTTATAAAAAAGGCTTACTTGAATATAAAAATAACTGAAATAAAAGATAGTAATATAAGTTCTAATTATAATATATAATAGATCTGAGGTTACAACTACTGAAAATGAAATAATATATAGTAACGATGAATTTGAATAGCAATAGTTTTTATTTTGTATAAATAACAATAATTATTACAAATAACAATTAAGGTACTTTACATTTTTAGAATAGTAATGCTATGTAAAGTACCCGGATACAATACAAAAAAAACGGTTAGAGGTACTTTATACAGGAGGTACTTAGTATTAAAAAAATGTTATAGTATGGTTCAAGTTTGCTTTAATAGTATTGTAAAACAATATAAAAAATTTTATCAATTGTGTAACTGATCTATAAATAATGCTTACCCCAACAATATAAATTTTCTGACTTACGTATTACGTTTTCTTTGTTCAAATATTGCGTATGATGCAATAATTTCTTAACTATAACGATAAGAGTATACGTAATAACAGTACGTAAAAGATAAACTATATATAAAAGCATATCATTACGCAGAATGTAACATTGTACGACTGAAAAAAAACTAAAGAAAATATAGTAATAAATTTTATTACGAAAAATTTTGTAACACTACAAGATCTAATTTAAAAGGCTAATACTAATTTTTGACAGGTGAAACTTTAAGCAGGTGTTAAGCATGACGGAATTAGCATGGAAAATAATAAATACTATTATTACTGTAACGAATATAATACGAGTGTTGCATGGTATTAGGCTTGGCTATTTAATAATAGACCAGTTATCGACCATCCATACTCAAAAATTTTTTTATGATCGGTCACGATCAAACAAATCAAATGATCGATCATCCCTAATTGATAATCATCATCTTTAACTAACTTCTTTTCTCAGAATCTTTTCAACAGTATCCCAATCATCAGTAGGCACCTTCACAATTTCACGTTGAAAATGCTTTTGTATAGCTTGTACAATTTCCCAACTAACTGCATCATGAACAAAGTTAATAGAAACTCCGGTACGTCCAAATCGACCAGTACGTCCAATACGATGTAAGTATGTCTCAAAATCAGGATTTCTACCGGTTATATCCATTGGTATATCGTAGTTGATTACAAGATTCACTTGCAACACGTCAATACCACGTGAGAGAACGTTTGTGGTAATCAATACCTTAGCACTACCTTTACGGAATCCATCCATAACTTCATCGCGTTCGGTCGTTGAAAGACCACCATGAAGGTTAATCACCTTGTGACCTTTCTCTGTCATACGTTTGGCAATTTTGTCTGCCGTTTCACGTTTCTATAATTTTTCGAACTTTAAATTTTAATACTTTTATCATTTTAGGCATTTAGTATTCAACAAAGTTACCATAAATTTTACCTGAACGAAAATAATACTTTGCCCAATTGTTAACAATGTATATAGATCATCTAAAACTTCAAGCTTGTGTTCTTCACTTTTACAATCCATGTAAAATTGTTTAATGGTTTTTACTGACAATTCTTCAACTTTTAAGTTGAATTGATTTGCATTTGGCGCGAATCTAGTAGCAAATGATCGTACTTCACTGGAATACGTAGCAGAAAAGAGTACAATTTGACATGAAGGAGGCATCATACTATTTTTATTTATTAAAAATAATATCGATATTAGTACACGAATAAACAAATTTATAACGATATCAATATAAATACTTTTTAATTCTTATGCTCTGATCGCCCAATCCTTGTTGATCCAACATATTATCAGCTTCATCCAAGACAAAAATTTTCATATGTTTTTTTTCCATCACTTTCCTCTTGAGTAGATCATAAACAGTACCAGGTGTACCGACTATAAGTTGCGCTTCAGCAAATTCTTCGTGCCTACTTCTACCACTAGTTTTTGCATGGGAATCTCTAATAGCTTCTGCAGTTATTACCGGTGTATATTTTCCCATTTTTCTAACTTCCACCATAATTTGACGAGCAAGTTCTCTTGATGGTGTCAAACAAAGCGCCTATTTTTTTCAATAATAAAATTTCAAAAGAATTCATACAACTACACGAGTATATACATCATATCGAAATATTACTTGTGGTGCTTTCAAATCATAATTTATTCGACTCAGCATAGTTAACACAAATGCTGCTGTTTTTCCGGTACCGGATTGAGACTGGCCAATCATATTTTGAGGTCTGATAATATTAAATATGTTAAAATGTCAGATAACTAGATATAATAATAAATAAAATATTTAATATTTATTTAATGTTACGTACGGAGATTTGAGAAGTAAGGGCAACGCCTTTGCTTGAATCTTTGATGGGGTTGTAAAGCCCATTTCATAAACACCTTTCAACAAGTTTGGATTCCTAATTTTCAAAATCCAAGTTCAAATTTAATGTCAAATTAAAAATAGCTCTAACAACATATAGTAATCATTATAAATATATATACAAATTTAGTTCTTCAAATTTCGTTACAGAAAGAAGGGGTTCATCGTCGACACTCGTGACTTTAACCTCATAGCTCGATTCTAGTAACGAACTATGTTTTGCTTTGTTTAAAAAAAAAAAATATATATATATATATATATATATCTAGAGTTAGATCAAAAAAATTAATTTACCGATAAATCATTAATCTCTTACGTTCTTCGGTATTTAGGTTCTCAATCCGTGTAGTGAGATTTTCGACGTCTGTTATCGCGAATAATTTAGATCAGAAAGAATTCTTGTATAGTTATGCAATTAAACAAAAAACCAGATCGGTGAGCTGTCTTAAACGCTTAAAGAGATTCTTTGAAAGATCAACTTTTATCAAGAGTATTTAATAACCGAAACTCTCGGCGAAAGATCCTTGTGAATTGGTTGATTCAGAGAGATCTACCACCTGGAAAAGAAATCAGAAGGAAATCAAGCTCGTTTTTCTGTAGGAACTCACCTCCATTAATAGTAGATGAACTTGTAGTAATCTCGGAGATATCCATTTCGAAATTAAGTTTGAAATGTTTGAGAGATAACGTTAATGCTAGTGCTAATTATTTTGCTCCGCCCAAACACTAAAAATCAATTGGAGACATCTAAATTTTAATCTATCAAGGAAATTAATGTAACACGAACTTTAGTCATGTGACAATGTACCTTATATAAGTTTTCATGTCGAAATTTCAAATTTTTCTTTTCAATAGCAAAGAAAAACTCAAACATTTCATTCATGCAAAATCCTTTCCCTTCTTCAAACTCGCAAAATTTAGTCGAATCTAGCTCTATAAATATGGATATACTTACTCAATTACAAGACTCAATAGATAGCGTACGTAAATAATTGATTAGGATTATGCATGTTTCTTATACGAAATTTTTAAAAAAAGTTCTTATGAAATGTTAATTTATTTAAAAAAGATTTCCCGCATGTTTTTTGTAGTAATTCATCATTTAAATACTCAGGGTAAGTTTCTCTTTTTATCATAATATGCCTGATCAAAGAATGAACCTATGAAAAACCATTGTAATTTGTTTTGCACCGAATAAGGTTTTTTTTAATCTTGAATTTTAATTAAAATCGTTAAAATTACTTTTATTTTAATATCATCGTATTTTAGATCCGAGCAAGTCCAAAGGTATGAATCTGATAAAGGACATGAAACATAATTTCTATTTAATGGATAAGATTTAACGGATTATTGTATAAATATGATCTTAAACAAATCTTCCTCTTTTTTTTTCTTTTATAAAAGAGACGCAACAGGAACACATCCAAGATATCTGTAAAAAAGCGAAACAAATAGAATTGTTGATTGATGCTTTACCTGGTATAAATCATTCAGAAGCGGAACAAGTATGGTTAAACCAATACTCAGCATTTTATTTTTTTTTAATTTCCAGCTTATGTTACTAAATATATACTATGGCTAATGAAAAGTTTTCAATATTATTTATATAGGTCGAAATACTTAAATCGCTAGATCAGGAATTAAAAGTTGTTAATGAAGAATACATAAAGGCAGTTCAAGATGCTGGTAAAATATAAAAATCATTAATTGAACATTTTTACAATAATAATCCAAATAGTCATCCAATTTTCTTTAAAATACATTTTAAAATATAGAATCTTTATTGAAACAAATAAAAGAAACTATTAGAATCATATCTAAAGACCAAAGTATTGAGATGGGATAACCCTAGCCAGTCGATATATGATAACTTTTTCGTGATTGGTCAATTATACAATTGAATTTATACAGTTTAGAGTACTTTTACCCCCCTAAAATAGTGAATTTTTTTTTTAAAAAAAACTGTAACTACCATTTATAATACTACAAAAGACTCTTCACAAACGAAGCTTTAAGTATGTTGTGTATCTCTGGGATTCACCCTACTTGGGCATACCTCACTTAGAGACGGTTCTTAAAGCTAGGAAAAATGGTAACGTATAATAAATATATGCGTTAAACCTTTTAATTAACTCAAAAAGCGTAACTAACTTGTTTGAGAAAGAGCTTAAAAGTAATATTTAGTGTAACTTTTTAATAATATTAAATTAAAAAAAAAAAATAGGCTTATATTTAAGTTGGCTTTATTGTGTATTACGGGAGATTATTATTCTATAGTTTGAAGGTTGATGAAAAATTTTCATTTATTACAATTTTTATGACGATGGATGTACATTATAATTTTTCTGTCTAAATTAAATCGTATTAAATCATTTTAATCTATTTTCTAAGATTGAGTTGCGTATTATATATTTAAAGTTTTTAATTGCTTTCATTTTATTACGTCATCCATGCTTGTTATTTTATACGGCATACGTCATCCATACTTATGCTACTAGATACACGCACGAATTAAAGTGATTTTAAAAAAATATAAACGGTATAATTTATGATCAATGACCATCGTACTATAATACCAATATAGCATGATAATTCTGAGATACATCACGCTGGTACTTTGAAATTTTTTTGATTGTCAGAAAATACCGCTTCACGGCATTCTCTAATCAAAAAAATTATCACCGTACCAACGTGATGTTATCTTAAACTAACATACTATATATTATTATATCGACCTCTTTATAATAAATAATTGGCCAGCTGGCACATGATCTGCAAAATGGTCAATCATGATGCGATATTCAGTTATCGTATTTTTCAATTTTCCTTGCTCACGTTAGAAATTCCTGATCTAGCCAATCAGGAAAATTAAAAAATTAAAAAAAGTTACATTGTAAATCGGTGCAAATGATGCTAAGGCCACTCTAAATTGATTCTTTGTTTAACATAACATAAATATTTTGCAAGAGAGGGGGGAGGATAAAAAAATCAACAGTAAAAAATAAACATGGCAATTCTATTGGCTAAAAAAATGTAAAAAATTTAAAAAAATATTAGAAACTAATACTGCAATTTGATTGGTTAATTTTTATATTAAGTGATGTTTATTACCCCCTCTATTTGAGGCTCAAAAAGAGGGGGGGTTATGCTAAACATAGTTTTAACTTGGCGTAGTGATGGGCAATGCACGGGATAATTCGGCCAATACCATAATTCCGGCCGTAATCCGGTAACTATCCGCGAATCCCGCGCGGGATTTTTAAAAAATTCGATTTTCCCATTACCAATCCTAACTAATAGAAAAACTTGAAAGAAATTAGTAAATTCGGCTAATTTTCTATTTTTTTTGGTTGGTTTGTACCTCTCGGATGAAAGACTAAATGTTATAATGAAATAAATATCATGAATATTCTAAGTAATCATATGGGCTGATTTTTGGAATTTATAATTAGGGTTTATATATTTTTTTAATTTTTTTAATATAATTTTGTTACTAAAATACTTATCTCTTTATAACGATAAGAATTCTAATAAATCTAAAATCATCCAAATCCAATCATAGATTATTTACAATAAAAAATTTTTTTATTTTAAAATTTAAAAAAAATATACCCTAATTATAAATTCCAAAATCTGCCCATATGTGTAATTGGTACTTGATATTATCTACAGTGTAAAGGAAATTATGTTAAGTACTGGGACCATTTGAATATGTTGAGTTCAATATAATATACGAAATGCATAAGAGAATGTACAGTATAAAATAGTTCTTACATGTGTTGATGCGCACATTCTTATAAATATTGTAGAAGCTTGACAATAGGTAACATGTAATTTTTAATCAATTCAGATCAATGATCATTTTTTTTTTTTAGTCTGAAATTTAATCGAAGGTCAGCCCGGTCGACCAGGCTAGCCTCTTTTGCTAGCCAGGTCGACCCAAGATTTTAGCACTGGCTCACTAAATCAAATTTTAGAATTTGCTAATTAAACCATGTAAAATTAGTCACTTAACTCATAACATATATCGTACCTTAAAATGATCCATCAATTAAGCTTTTGATTCTAACCATAAAATTTATTTTTTTTTCATTCGGAAAACAAAAAAAAATTAATACTGCATAAAATTTATTTTTTTTTTCATTCGGAAAACAAAAAAAAATTAATACTGACGTGTTTTATATACAATATAATTTTTTTTCAAATTTTTGCAAAACTGTTCAGGTCAGATTATGTAAAAACATTAACTTTGTATGTCCTAATTCAAATCAGTTCATATCATTTATTGATAAATTATGAATAAACGTTTATTAATGAGAATGTTACATTTCCTATAAATTTTCACATTTCTATTGGTATAATAAACATCTGTACTTTCTCTTAAGTTAAATAACTATTCTATTAATGTCGATTTATAAACCAGTATTCCCTTGTTCATCATCCTCATCCTCATCATAGCCCTCATTTTCCGTTGGTGAAATAGGTAACAACAATCCAAACCCGCCGACCACAATCGCGAACAAAACCCAGTTTGAAAGTTCCATCGTGAATTTTTTATTTAAATTCTCTAACGTATCCATCATCGAAATTAATAAAGTGCCATAGATTTGTGCGAATGCATATAGGATTCCTGTTGTTGTGATTTCGTCGGTTGATTGTCTCTTGGATATTACTATTGTAGCGTATTGGCATACCGCTGGACCTATTGCTAAAAGAAAGAGAAACATTAATAGATACTAGGAATAAGATATATTGATAATAAAATGATATCTTACCGAATGAAAATATACCAAATGATATGCTATATTAAATAGGTACGTTGAATATTAATAAAAAAAGAAAATAAGTCATTTATTTATAATAATCAAGGACGTGCAATCCATCACGTAATTTAAAAGGCCCATATTCATTAAATTAGTTTATGTATACCATCTTGGAAGATTATTGTCTAGGGATTAAAGGACAAGCCTCTTAATATTTATTGAACTCCCCTTTGGATTCATGTATATGTATACTTTTTTGATTGGGAGCTATCCATAATAAAATCACGTAATATATAACGTTTCCCAGCGAACAAATTTCAAAAAAGAGACCAACCTTGAAACAAACACCAACTCTACCATCTCATATTTTAACGAGATATTAAATAACCCTAAAGAAATAATGACCCCGACATACAACCACCGACACGATGATTTAAAAGCCAACGTGCGATCAAGATATATTCCAATTGCTAAGGATCCTGCCATCCCGAAAACTATTATTAAGAACCCTAAAAGCCCAATTGTTGACTTTATTAAAATACATAGTTGAATATTAGCGAAGTAATGTAACTAAAGGTTTAGTGATGATAATAACAAAAGAATTATTGATGTGCACATAGTGCTTTCTCATCAATTTTCTTTGATAATTAGTAATAACTACCTCGTCAAATTGCTTAAATACAGGTAATATCATTTGAGACAATAAAGTGCTTAAAGCATATAGACCACCGGTGACAACCCCGTAAGATGTTGTTAATAACATGAACAATTTATCACTCAAATAGTAGCTGATATTAGAATTGGATAGCTTAGTTATTGATAATGACTCGGCTCTCCTATATTTAATAGCATTGTAATAATCAAAAAAAATTTTTTTTCTTAAACGAACTGAAGAATAGAGGTAGATAAAATATACATGTAAAACAAGATTAATTACTTATTGCTGTGTGTATACGGTGAAGACTTAAAAGTAAATATCAAAAACAAATAAATCGCTACACAAAAAACAAATTGTTGCAAAAGGTAATTTGGTATATCGCGATTTGCCGTCTTTTCTTTAATCATCCACGGAGATAATAAAAATCTGTAAATTTACATTAATAAACAAAAATTTAAAAATTTTCATACATAATTTATGATACATTCGTGTTATTCATTCTTTTTTTTTTTTTAAAAAAAAAAAACACATACCCAGCAGCAGCTCCAGCACTATTAGCCGTAATACCAACAGAAGTTGCAAAATTCTGTTCACCAAATTCTGAAAACCAAATATTCGCTAATTTTGGAGGTATACCTAACATAAAAAGTTGTGCAATCGCTGCTATAGTCTGTCCTAAAAACAATATCCAAAACCCCAAATTTGATTTATATAATGATCCTAAAAATCTTAAGAAAGCCCCCAAAGAGTTTAGAAGTGCACCAAAGATTACACCAAATTTTATTCCATACTTATTAAACAATTTTATAGAAGGAATCAATAAAATTGGGTACGTTATCATGTAAATTGAAGATAAAGAGTTTATACCCGAAGGTGTTTGAGAAAAATAAGACATGAAAATGTATAAACATGGTGCGAATGTTATCCATAAACATGCCGAAGCAAATGTAAGCAAAGAAAAACCTAATAAGATCACCCAACGATATGTTGATGAAAGTTTTGTATTACTATTAAAAGTGGATGGTAATAAAGGACTGGTTGCATCTATAGTAACATCTATAGTATCATCATTAGTGATATTAAAGTCATTATCATCGATAGATATTATAGGCGAAGACATTAACGTTAATAATCACTTCTTAAAATATAATGGTTTGTAAATGTATTTTTTTTTAATTAAATGTTTTAAATACTTTAAATACCCCGGACCCTGATAACGTACGTATATGTACTTACAATACGTATAATGTCATGGAAGTATAATAAAAAAAAACTGAACATTAAGAATGTCACAATCTGTACTACTATATTTTCGAATAAGTATAAAGATGTCGGCTTAATCCGGGTTGTACATTTACGTACGTATCATTATACTTTATCGTTATCGTCATACGCAGAGCACCTATTCGAATACTTGTTATATTGTGAATTGTCCAGAGCTAGTGGGCTTTTAGAGTGAAATAGTGATGGCGCAAAAATTGGCGGTCCCGTGACTAATTAAACCTAATTTTCATCTAAAAATTAATGGTTGCATTAATACAAAGTAGAAAGAATATATCTAAATTTTTGGGCAATCTTTTATTTAATAACAAAAGGCTGATTTCCTTGCGAATTTACGAGTTTTTTGTGATTTCTTGTTTTTTTTCGCCTTTAATTTGTTTACAATCGGATTGAATAAAATCACGGACCGCCAAATTTTTGCGCGTTGCTATTTCATTCGCGCTTTTATGATCGAAAATACGTTTTTGATGCATTATTAATAAAAGTATCATCGTATGACTGTAACGCCCTGTTTTCATGATGCTATAGAATTTTTTCCTCGCAAAAGATGGTAATATCATCTTTTTGCAAATTACATCACATGACCTCATATCACATGAAAATTAAATTTCTAATTAAGAGCCTTTTATCTTAAAGAAAACTAAACAAATGCAATATTTACTTCATTGAACAATTTCTAAAACAATTAACACTAAATCTCTATATGGAATAACTTTTATCACATCAAAAAAATATTATAAAGCCATATAGTACAAGACTTAATAGTTATATCTACAAATCCATTTTTATATATATTTATACTTTAATCTATATATACTAACCAACTGGACTTTTAGTAAAAAAGGTTGAATAATTACAAATAAGTTAATTTTTAGTAGAATCTATAACCTATTATTACAAAGTAAATTTTTAGTATAGCATAATATATAATAGTATTAGTAATTATTTATATTTATTTATTTATTTTTTGATATTAAGGTGACCTCTTTGGTCTTTTGACTTTTATTAATGATTTTTTTGGTAATGTGATTCTATGAATCATTACAGAAGAGCATACAATTGGTTATACATATAATTTTTCTATATTACCTATTTAAGAAGTTTGCTTAGAGATTTTTTACCAATTACTGTACTTAAAACCTTTACTTGGATATTTTACTTTAAATTCTCTGAATCTGTAATCAGTGTTAACTCATTGGGTCATACTCTGATGTTCAGATCATCATCTTAATTTAAGAACTATTTTATTCTCAAAATAAATCTTTTAAAAACTTCTGTATCTATTTTTATAGTTGATCTAGGTAGAACTAACACTTGTATTCAGAATTATATCATTTAATACTATGTTTTTATAGAGTTCACACAGACCCTAGCATCTACTTCATAGCATAATCCAGTAATTTAGTATACCTCTGCTTTTTATTTAGCCTTTTGTTCAAATTCTCAATTCAGATAACCTATATAGAACTATGATCAGTCTATTAGTATATCAGATTGGTTTAATATTCTTTTCTTTTAGTTTATTTTGGCAGCTTGGTTGGTAATACTTTCAAGGCTTCCAACTCAAAAGTTCTTGTCTGTCTAGATATTATGATCAGGTACTATGATCTGAATATCTTTTCTTTAGACTAACTTTTACAATAAGATCATTAAAAATCTGATCATCTTTCTATTTAGGTTTTTCTAAATAAACTTCTTGTTATCTAATTTTAATGAATTTATATGACCATAAGAACTTATCTAGTATTTGCACTGCCTAATTTGTTAATTTGTATTTTTCTGTATAACTAGTTATATAGATATCTTATAACTTGTCAATTATACTAGTATGATTGTTATTATAAGTATTCTAATCTAATTATTAGTAATAGTTACTGTAATATGAATATTATATAAATGATTATTTAAATTTTTACTGTCAATAAGATTTGAATACCTAATCTACCACTTAGAAGGTTGGTAACCTGACCAATTTATTAGGTTATCACATCTCTGTTATTTATATTTATTATTATATTTTATATATATATATATATATAAAGAATATAACAACCTAATAAAGTAGTTAGGTTATCAACCTTCTAAGTGGTAGCTTGAGTGATTAAATTTTATTGATGCCAAAAATTTGGATAATCACCTATATAATCTGGTATCATAACAACTGTTTCTAATAATTGGGTTAAGATATCTATAATTTTAATCATATCAATATGACTGACAGGTTATGAAGCATTTATATAATTAGATATACAGAGAAATATAAATTAGTATCAAGTGGTACAAATCTAAGATAAGTTCTTGTGACCATATAAATCTATAGAAATTAGTAAACAAAAAGACTATTTGAAAAGACTCAAATAAAGAAATAATATAAATCTTTAATAATACTACTATAAAGACTAGATCTAAAAAATGAATATCAATACTAAAGTAGCTAAACAGCCAAGAAACTCTAAATAGAGAGTCTTAAAGATACTACCAATCAGATTACTAAATTGAACTAAAAGAAAAAAATATCAGATTGATCTGAAATACTAATAGACTGGTTATAGTTTTATACAGACTATCTAGATTAGAAATTTGATAAAAGAAGCAGAAATATACTAAAATACTAAAAATATGCTATAAAGTAGGTAACAAGATCTGGGTAAATTCTACAAAGTCATAGTAGTTTAATAATTAAGCTTAATTGCAAATGTTAATTCTGTTATAGTGATTAGTGTTTTTAGATTTAGTTTAGTTTAATTTAGATTCATGAACCAAGTTTATTAAATCTAAACTGAACTTCAAAGTTTGCAGATCATTGAATATGAACCTGAACTAAACTTAAAATTTATAAATCTGTACTAAATCTGAACTTAAATTTGGTTCAGTTCAGGTTCAATTCAAAGTTTATGAACATATTTAGGTTCAATAATATATATATTTTATATATAAAACAAATTTACTTAGAGAATAAAAATAGGATTAATTAATAAATTTTTAAAAATTATAATATTTTTCATTATTTTATTAATAAAATTATAAAAATTGTTATAATTCTTGAAATTTTATTAATTGATTCTATTTTTATTCTTTAAGTAATTTTGTTCTATATTTAAAACTACAATATATTAGCATATATTTATTTTATAATTTTTAGTTTTATAAGAAAGATGCTTAATTTTTATGTTTTGATGAAAAAATTTAAACTTAGTGTTTCTAGTTTAGTTTAGATCATGAACCAAGTTAATTAACCCTAAATTGAACTTTAAAATTTGCAAATCATTAAACCTAAATCTGAACTAAACTTCAAATTTTGTAGATTATTGAACCTGAATCTGAATTAAACTTAAAATTTATAAATCTAAACTAAATCTAAACTTGAATTAAAAGTTCAATACTGAACCTGAACTGAACTTTTTTTTAAAAAAAGTTCAAGTTTAGGTTTAGTATTGAACTGAATCTGAATCTGAACTTAACCAAAGTTCAGTTCAGTTTAAGTTTACAAAAACACTAATAGTAATACCTAGATTAGCTACAAAAACTGAGTATATAACAGTTCTAAGATATTTATCTTGAAGATAAAAATGTCCTAAGATTAAGATGAAAAATCTAGACTTGACCTAGTAAAGTAATATAAGACAGGTTCAAAAAATTTAAATAAAACATTTACACAAAATAATTAGATATGGCAATTGATAAAAAACATTAAGCAGACTCTTTAAATAGATAATATAAAAAGTTATACAAGTAGCCAATTGTATATTCTTTTTGTAATAGCTTCTTACAAAACTACATTTTTAAAAATATATTAATAAAATCAAAAGACCAAAAAGGTCACCTTAATACTATATATATATATATATTTCTTTTAAACAGTTATGCTAGTATTTTATTTTATTTTTTTTTGATATTAAGATGACCTCTTTGGTCTTTTGACTTTTATTAATCATTTATCAGTATTGTGGTTCAATGAACTACTACAAGAGAGCATACAATTGGCTATATATATAACTTTTCTATATTACCTATTTAAGAAGTCTGCCTAAAAGTTCCCTACCAATTGCTGTATCTAATATTCCTGCTTGGGTGTTTCACTTTAAATCTTCTGAACCTGTAACCTATATTAACTTACTGAGTTATACCCAAATACTTAGATTATCATTTCAATCTTAGAACTAATTTATCTTTGAGATAAACCTTTCAAAGCCTTCTGTACCTATTTTTATAGCTGATCTAGATATTGCTATAGCAGAACCAATACTTGTGATCAGAGCTAACCATTAAACCACTATGCTCTTGTAGAGTTCACTTAGACCATAGCATCTACTTTACAGTATAACTCTGATACTTTAGTATATCTCTGTCTTTTTCTTTATCTTTTTACCAAACTCCTAATTCAGATAGTCTATATAGGACTATGATTAGTTCATCAGTATATTGAATTAGTCTAATATTCTTTTTCTTTGATTCATTTTGACAGCCTGGTTGGTAGTACTTCTGAGACTCTCAACCTGAAGGTTCTTACCTGTTAGACTACTACAATTAGATACTAGGCATTGGTATCCAATTCTTTGAGCTAGCTTTTACAGTAAGACCATCGAAAATCTAGCTATCTCTATATTTAGATCTTTCCAAATAGACTTCTTGTTATCTAATTTCAACAGATTTACACAATTACAAAAACTTATCTAGTGTTTGCACTGCCTGATTTGTTAGTTTGCATTCCTTTATATAACTTTAACATTGCACAGATGCCTTATAACCTGCCAGTTATACTGATGTGAATATTATTATAAATATTCTAACTTAATTATTAATAACAGTTGCCATAATATAAATATTATATAGGTGATT